AAATTATTAAAATAGTAAAGGTATAGTAGTTTCAGTTTCAAAATTAAACATTTAACGACTATGAAATGTGCACTATATTTTTCGTAGAATTTACTAAAAGTTCTATATTTTATAATTAAAACAGACGGCTAAACCAATTGTTTCTGTAACTCCAGTGGGACCAATTAGCTCAGGTGCTCTGTGGGTAGTAAGTTACCCGAGTCCGCCGGCATTGACTTTAAGTACCATCTGCAATGTTCTACATTAAAATTACCTGTTAGATGTTTCCAAAATACTGTTACTATCAGCCTCTATCCAAATTCTTGGGTAGAGACAGATAATCTTCTTCTTGTCTCAAGGGATAAAGGGATATAGGATGGTCTACCACAACAGAAATGAGCTGTGTCAGACGGGGTAAAGGAGTTAATGGATTACGCTAAGGGATGAATAATATGAATAATTACATTACACCTTATTTGCCTCAACTTCGGGTAGGTATCTCCTCTGAGGATAGGATTCTGAATTCTCTTTGATTAAATATTTGTTTGTTGGCTAAAAGTCTGTAGAAGAGGCGTTTATTCAGTTAAGGTGGTTCTGTCGGATCGTATGTAAAGTAATTAAGTAATATATGAGAGGCAAAACAAATTTTAATTAACAAAACATATTTATATATTAAAGTGAATCTACTAATATTATAGATATTTATTCCTTTAGTTGTAAAGTAATGATATATCACACAAGTGTATGCTTATCCCCCAAAACAAATAGCCGTTGTCATTTTCGATTACCTGAATACAACGGTGTGCTGGTGTTGTAAAAACATTTACATGAGATAAAATGTTTCTTCTTTCATACCTTAATCTTGGAGACAAGCATAGACTGATTTTCCGCTTGAATTATCTTATCTACTCTTTTTAGTATAAGATAATCTTCATTACGATAAGTACTATGAAAAATAAATAAAAATCAATTGTAAATGATTACTCACTTACCCTGCATTTGGTAGCGGATAGTTACAAGTAAGTGTATTTAATATCTACTCTATGCTAAATACATTATTGCGAAACCGTCTGACCGTTCTATCTAAGGTTCTGTGAACAGTTTTATTATCAAGCATTGGAACTCATCTAACACGGTTACCTCATGGAATTTCTAAAGTTTTCATAGCTTTCTTTTTACATTCTGATTCTGATTGATGTTTTGATTAGTTAGATTAGTTTTGAACACTAGCCTGGACGATTGAATCTTTTGCTTACTAAATTGGATGAGTTGGATCGAAGCTAGCTATGAACTTTCTACTTAAACAATGTTTTGGAGCTCGGGTCTTAAATTTATTAATTTTATTCGCTTTTTCCGCTCATTAATATTTAAATAGGGTTGAGTACTTCATTCTACTTTTAAATAAGTAGTAGTAAATGGTCCCGTAGTCAGCTTTCATGTTTTCTTATAGTTTTTTTCAAATAAGATTATCATGTTATTGTTTAATAACGACATCTAAATGGTTTGTTTCTTAAGGTCTGTTTTATACTTATATTAATAATTATCTGCGTTTATGATCACGGCTTTCGAAGATCGTAGCAGTGTTTATTTAAAAATGCAATGTCAACTTTAAGCACTCATTCATATTCCATTGATGGCGTGTTTAAATTCGGTTTTATCATTTTACTTTAGAAGTATAGATGTACAAACCTTCGCTGGTGAACGAATGTTTTATCCTGATGTATCGGTACCTACTACTGGAATAGTACTACGGTAGATAACATTCCTTTGGGATTTATATTCACAGATTTCGTTGGTTGGGTTTGATCATCTGGCCTCTATTTTCTGAATATTTTACATCCAGAGAAAATATTACCTTGCGTAATACCTACCTTCGAATATCTATATTACATAATTTTTTCTCTGTTCACCGGGACATTTCTGTTACGTAATTTTAGGTATATGTATGTCTCATTTTAGAGATAGGTAAGCATACAGAATAAAGTAAATGAATACAGAATAAAGGATGAGATGTAAAATCGCTTAAATTAAAGTGCAATAGATTTAAAGTTTTTGCCTCAAGAGTTGTCAATTTACTAAGATGAACCCTTCAAAAGTTGATTTTGAACACAAATAAGTGATAAAATGACAGCGTGCCTTCGGCTTTTTTACAAAGGTTACTAACATCGACTAATTGTACCGTATAACGTGCTACAAATCAGAGTATTGTAGCATTCGCATTAACAGGCCTGTTGCTCTTGTGGTTAGTGACTCTGAATGCTAAGCCAGAGGTCGTGGGTTCGATTCCTACCCTGGACAAATAATTGTAATGAGCACGATCATTTGTTGCAAACAATTAAAAACGTAAATTAAGGAATAAATAAAGTTTTTTCTAAACCTATTGCGTACTTATGTTGTGAAAACTAAAAAATTCTAAAGCAATCTGAAGTAATAAAATAATATAGATAAAATGAAGAAACACCACATAGACGGAGTTTTTAATTATGTGTGTAGGTTAGTAGGCATAACAAACGCTCACTTCAAAGCTAAAACTAACCCCAATAATATTAAAATCACATCAACAGCCTATAATAGTCCACTGCTGGACATAAGCCTCTCCTTAGAAAGGAGGTTAATATAAAAAATTATATTACATAAGATAGTTTAACAGATTTACATTTGTATATACTTTACTATATGTATGTATCAGCGGCGTGCACAGGATTATGACACTAGGTATGCGGCAGAATAGTCGGTCACAATAACTTTTTCTTTTATAGATTTTTAGCTTAGCCACAGCCACGCGATGGATCTCTAAGTCGGAAACCATGCCAACAGAACAAGTCTTAGATGTACTACTATTCATGTACATCTTCAACGGGAACACTGACAAAACTGCGATAGATCGGCGATAGATCGCGGCGGAGGAAATTCTAATAAGTAAAATAATAAGCTAAAATATTATAACTACTCACCTGGTCATCTTCAATTTTCTGATATTCACATATTCAAGGTTAAGGTTACTTGAGATTACTATATCCCAATGTAAATAAACGCAAGATTTCGGCCACCTCAAATATCTTATCCAAGTGAGTGATAGTTACAGACCTTTAGACACAATTTAAATCTTGTGAGAACTTGTTATTTTTAATTTAAATTATACACAAATTTTCCACACATACCTCACGATCAAATGACATTTAAAAAAAATCAACGGAACTCAGTAATAAACTGTTAAATGTACACACTTTCAAATAAAACTATAATTATACTGGCGGAAAGAAAATAGTAAACAATGCTTATCACATGAAAAAATCAATATGGCCCCCGCGAACAAGAAACATATCTGCTAATTAAACAAATAAAACCTTACCATGTTCAAAATTCATAATCCGAATACATGTTTCATTATATTTCTGACTATTGTAATTGGGTGGATTTATAGGCAACGAACACTGCCGATTATACCCGAATACTGACGACAACGATTAGCGCGGGAGCCGAAGGCCAACTGCAGTATCCTGCCGCTGTACTCGGGCATATGAAATAAATGGGTGTGTGCGTATGCAAACTGTGCACGGACACCAAAATTACTACACACATGCGAACAAATGTCCTGCGCGAGGCGACGGCATGAGTTGATTTGCGCTTGCTTTTCGGTAAACACCTGGCAAACAATGTTTGTGTGGTGCTATGCTATTTGTAAATAGTACGCGTTTTTAAGTTATTATATTTTGTTTTTTCATTTATTTACTATTAATTAAAGTCATCTAAAACGTACCAACGTTTTTTTAAAATGTCTGTGAATAGCAAGTAAAGCACTGCATTTCTGCCTACAAGGAGCGCACGCCCCTGGTATGTATATACTTGCCTTGGCTGACTTATTTATCAACGCAGAGCCTAAACCGCTGGGGTTATGAACTTGAACTTTTGGCAGCTGATGCTTCTTAAACACCCACTAAGAAAGGTATATATTGAAAATTTAGGAGGGTAAAATAACGGATGAACGATTGTATGGAGTCATTTTCAAAGTCAAAAACACGATATAATAAATAATCACACGAGCCGCTGGCAATGGCTAGTTAAATGTAAAGTTTATTAAGATATCAATAGCATTTTGCAGTTACAAGTTTACATCTTTACATAATTTTTTTTTTGACGGGCCTGTTGGTTTAGTAGTCAGTGACCCTGAATGGTTCGATTCCCCCCATAAATATTGTGTGATGAGCACGGTCATTTGTTCTGTGTCTGGGTGTAATTTATCTGTAATATAGTATTTAAAAATATTAAAGCATGTTTGTCAGCAGTCTAATTACCATAGCACAGGCTCTGCCTAGTTTGGGATCAGACAGCCGTGTGTGAGATATGTGAAATATATTATAAATTATATTAATTTGTCTTATGCACTAAACCCTACTGTCGAAATAGTATGTTCATCACAACATGTGCAGCGTGATGTAAAACAGAAAAAAGTAGAGAATAAAAATTTAAAAAAAAACTTTACAAGTTGTAAAAGAGCTGTTCTTGAACCAATAAAACACATTAATCAAAACATACGGTGGTCCCAAGTAACTACAGTAAATTAATATGACTTTTAATCTTTGTGCACGAAAGTTAGAAAATGACTGTTTTATTAAGTAATGATAAATGTGAAAAGGACATGATTTTATTTATTATTACATCTAATTATATCCTATAATTTTTTACGAATGTGTCTATTTTAGCTATAATACAAACACATTATGTTATTTTTAATAAAATACATTACTCTGATTTGCCTTAGTTTTGGTTCTTGTTTTAGAACAACAAATCAGTTGATATAAGATTTGATGTAACACGAAGTATAGTCCGATGCAAACTTAACTGGTAGATAGTAGCCATTTACTGCCACAGCAATTGCCGAATAGTCCGGTCCACCAGAGATTACATTTATCGAAATCTGTAACCAAAATGTTCTTTGTAATCTCTTTTTGCTGTAGGAATCCAATTATTTTCATCATAAACACCATTTTTTTTTTTGCAGTTGAAAACGCTAGATCAAAATGCCTGATTGGACGTGGCTGTTGATAGCGGCGGCATTAGGGGCTGTATCGGCCCTATCGTTGCCGCTGGTACTCATAATGTACTACCTTCGATCCTTTGAGAAGAAACCACAGATTCAAGAGGAAAGCTTACCTATCACCTTGCCACAGGTAAGTTTATTCATGTTGTAGTTCATATTAAACGATAGCCGAATGCCTTTTTCTAAATGTTTTTAAATGACATTTGTACGCGTATTTGTTTTTATATTGTTGCATATGTCTTATAAGTAATATCTATTTCCTTCATCTTTTTTTCTTACTGAACGTATATTTGTATTATCCTCCTTGAGTTAGTTGTATGAAATATATCTTATCGTTTGGAGCGTAGTTAGGGGCGTAGAAGGATTAAAATTGTTTTACTGACAATAAGGAACGCCAAGTAATTTATTTATTTAGCCTATTTCAATACGCAGATATATATAATACGAACAAAGGTTATTAATCTGGTACGTTACAGTATCAATACAAATGCAATGCAATGCAAATGCAATGCAATTTGACTGCACGGATGGCGTAGTGGTTTTAGCGGTCGCCACGCTGCTTCCTACTGCGCTGAGTGTTGTGGGTTCGATCCCCACATAGGACGACACTTTGTGTGATCCACAGCTTGTTGTTCTGAGACTGGGGCCCGTATTTTAAAAGACGTCTCAAGTGTCGGTTGAACTCTGATTGCCTGAAACTAGTTTTAAGTGCAGATCAAATCTTAAGTATCGATCTTATTATAGAACGCGTTTTAAGTTTTACTCAGTTGAAACTAGTTTCAAGTATTGATTTGAACTTACAGTCTGTTCTCAATTACGTTTCCGCGTGATTGACACTATTATTCCACATTACGCAGCTAATTATTTAAAAAAAAAAATCTTTTACAAAAATAATTTCTGTTAATTTGTATATAATATACTATTGCCTAGTGTAGCAATGTTAACATATTAACAAGGTTGTTGTTCGTTCAAAATTAAGTATAATAAATATTAAAATAAAAATGACTAGCTGTATGAATAGGCTATAACGGAACGTTCAAGTTATTTATCAACACTTGTCATGTTGAAATGTCAAACGATGTTTTTATTTGATATTTCTAAAATTTAAATTACTATACTTTTAACATAAACCAAAAGGTTATGGTAATTTAAACTGGTATTGTGTGTGTAAAATGTGAATTTTGGTGAATTTCATTTCAATTAAGGTAAATGAAAGTGAAATTGATGATAGTATGCCAAGTAATTCTTTCGTAAATAAAGTAAAGTAAATCTTTCGTAATTATTCAAAAAGAATATCATCATAAAACACATTCATCGTAAAACACATTCATTTCCCCTAAATGCCCTAGAGATCACCGCTTGAGACTAGTTTCAGCTTGTCTCACGTAAACAAAGATCACAGCTGTCAAAATCTATACCTGAGTAATGATTTCGACATAAACATCGTTCTAAAATAAGCTATCACTCACTTGAGTATGGATCGGTGAATCTCGTTTTAAGTGACGTTCAATAATAAAATCTCTACTTAAAATTAGTTTTAAGACTAGATTCACGACTGAGACACCTTTTAAAATACGGGCCTGGATGTTCTTTGTGTCCGTTTCATGTATGTTTGTAAAGTCCCCCGCGACACAGGATATATTCCTAATGCAGGAGTTGTCTTTTAAAAAAGAGAAAGAAAGAGAAGAGAAATGACTTGATCCCAAGTCGTGGCAGCTTAAACAGTAAACTAGTTAATCAATAAGTCTGTTGATTGATACGTATTTAAACTCACCTACTACCTAATATTTTAATGATTAAAGATAGGGATGAAAGATTAAAGTCTTGTATGAGTTATTTGGCTGAAGTATTCCAGAAGCGTACAAACTTTTCTTCATTAGGAACGAAAACAAACGAAACTCCTCCCAAAAATCGTGTTACCGCGTACCAACTCTGGATAAAATTAATATATGTTTAATGAACGCTCTGTTCACTTTGTCTTGATTGAACTACCGCCAGCAATATAATGGGTAAGGTAACATATTTAAATCCACTTAGTACTTTACATGTTAAGGTGAACCTCTTTTTTTGTACATGTAGAAACAGACTCTGGCACCCGCCAAAGTCTGTTTGTACATGCACACACATACAAACAGACTCTGGCGGGTCACCCGGCCGCAACCGACGACCGAATGGCGTAGTGGTTTGTGTAACGGACTGCTATTCCAAAGGTCGCGGGTTCGATTCCCGCTCAAGTCAAACATTTGTGTGCATGAACATTTAATGTTTGATTTGATCTGGGTGTTTCTATGTATAATAAGTAGGTATTTACAAAAAAAAAAAGTATATATGTATTTATATCAGTTATCTAGTACCCATAGTACAAGCTCTGCTTAGTTTGGGACTAGATGGCGTTGTGTGAATGTGGTACAATATTAAAAAAAATAAAAAAAATAAACCGAATTAATATGAATCTACGCTTAGCAAAGTAAAAAGTTTTCTGATCTATTTGATACTAAAATAATATTATTTGCTATTTATTTTTTTGTGTCAGTATACTATTACTGAAATTTAAAAAAAACAACGTCCTGACAAACGTAGCAGCGTTGATTTTCACATTTGTTAGCAGTTTTTATGTAATAGAAAGTAGTACTGTATATAAAAATACTCGTTATTGTGTGTTAATATTAAAAGATAGCACGTTGCTATATTTTAATGCTTATTTAACGATCAATAATTCAGTAATAAATAGTTTTCATATATATCTACTGGCATCTTTATCTGGACCACCCAATTAAACTCCCAGTTAGTTTGTTTTTGCCGAAATTTTCAACCATCGATATTAGCAGGAAGCAGTACCTCCGACCGAAGGCTAAAAGTAAGTCAAAGTATTTGTTTCATAATTATTTACTTATAATGTCTGTCTGTCTGTCAATAAATACCACGTAATCCATCTCTTTTGACGTGCCCTATTTAATCCCTGGAGCGTTAAATTAATTACTTTATGTAAGTAGTAGCTAGTAAAATATTTCTACTTCGAGCACAGGCTGAGCACACTATCTAATAAATTAAATGAATTCATTACGAAGGGTGTATGTTATATTTAGGAGTCCACAAACACGAGTATTGATTAATATTATGATCATTCCTAAAGTCAAGTACGTTAGGTATACGTTTGTAATACAGGGTTACAAGAAAAGTCGTGCTTGATCCGTTAAGGGCGTGGAGTACCCATCATTTCTGACATATTTCACTATGAAACACCCTACCCTAAACTTAACCCTTTTCGAGATAATCGTCTTTTAATTTTTTTATTGAAATTTGCTGATTTTTAGGCTACTACATTTATTTTTGTTTATTTTGTGTATCTTATTATTATTATTTTTGCATTTTTACATGTGTAATAAGATGCTTTAGGACGTCAGTCATTAAAATAGTTCATAAGTTAATTGAATAGATCGTAGTAGACAAGTGAAAGTAAAGAAATAAAAAAAATATATTAGAAAATTATTTTTCTCCAACGGATATCTAAAAACAATATTATGGTAATTGTTCGGCAGATGTTTTTTAAAATATCTACGTTTCATCAGCTATCTAACGAGGTATAATAATCTAAGGTTTTATTCGACAGTGGAGAAGAAAATTTATACTTAGCCCAAAAAAGTAAAATAAAACAATAGTTAAGCATGAAATGTCATTTATTAAAGGTTTTCACACAACTTTTTCTTATTCTACAGTTCATGTTCAACATGGCCGCCTCTATTTCTGATACATTGTCGCATCCTTCTACGAAGACCAGTCTTCACTACTCCAGTGGTCAACGTGGTCCTCATTTTATTTGCTGCATCCACAATCCTTTCTCGTAAGTCTTCCACAGACGAAACTGGATTCGGCTCGCTGTACACAAGACTTTTCATGCACCCCCACACATGAAAATCCATGGGGGTTAGGTCCGGACTTCTTGCTGGCCATGGCAACGGCCCACCTCGTCCTATCCATTTGTTTGGATAATTTGTGTCCAGCCAGTCCCTGACACTACTCCTGAAATGGGCAGGGCAGCCATCGTGTTGGAACCACATGTCCCTGATCAGGTTGAGTGGCAGATCATCCAGCAAATCACTCAAGTCTGCTCTCAGGAAATTTTCGTAGCTTTCCCCATTTAGATTATCCGGGAGAAAGTAAGGTCCAATCAAATGATTGGAGATAATGCCCATCCACACATTCACGCTGAATCTTCGTTGGGACCCCTTCACTCTTTTCTTATTGGGATTCCTTAGTTCTTTTGGGGCCCAGTAATGGGCGTTGTGATAGTTAGTTATGCCATCTTTATCAAATTTGGACTCATCCGTCCACAAAATATTTCTTAGAAAATCTGGGTCTTCTACGTCAGCATTTAGCATAAATCTGCAAAAGTCCAATCTTCTCGCGGGGTCTCCTTCTTCAATAACGTGTACCGGCGTGTAATGGTACGGGTATAGGCCAGCAGTATGCACTGTAAACCACACTCTCCATTGCGAAAGTCCCAGATCACGGGCAACAATATTAGTGGAAGTAGTCGCATCCGCTCGAAAGCGTTGCACTATCTCATTGTCCTGTTCTTCGTCGTCAATTCGTGGTCTTCCCATGTCTGTATTTCGTCTCAAAACAGAGCCAGTTTCTCGAAGTCTTCGATAAACTCTGTCAAAAACGGCCACATCCGGCACTCGACGACCAGGGTAGCGAGTTATGTATTCGTTGCGAGCTTGCGCAGACACACAATCGCAGTATCCGTAACAAATAAGCATATCAGCATATTCCTCAGGTGTGTAGGACGTCATCTTCAACACTTCCGTATCACAGGTACAAATCAGAGTCCGGTTAACAAGCACAGTAGTCACAAATCAGAAGAAATAGTCCAGCATCACAGCCAAGTCGAGAAAAAGAGCAAAACGAAGTCACATCTACTATGTACGAAGCACAAAAGCAGACTGAAAACTAGTGACAACCAAACAATGCCCCCTGTTGTATTCCCAGCCCTGACCGGTCTCTACACATTTTTTCTTTCATTCGCACCTACATAAATCGTCACTTGTCTCGCTCGCTTGGTGCGTCTTAACTTGAAGGATAATAGGCGCGGGACCGTTAGAACTGTTACCTGGAGCGTCCCAACTA